TGTAATGAACAGTTTCTGTATTTACAGGTCAGACGATAATCACACATTGGTGGACTTTCCTCATGATGTTTGTTACTTCAATTTGTCTCTTTAACGTTCTGTATGATTTCTGATGAAAATAAATAATTTATCACTTTATTGTCTTTTTTCAAAAAACTTTCTTCATATGAATTTATTTTTCTTCGATGCCTATTTTGTTTTGAGAGCTTAATAAATTTTTATAAGGAAATAAAACGAATAAAACAGATTTGTTTAAAAGTGCCATCCTTGAAAATAAGGTTTGAAATGCATTCTTCATCTCAGAGAACAATACCATAAAAATATATATAATATCATAAAAACAAGCTGTTCTTCAAGGAAAAGCAATTTTCCCACTTTTCCATTGTGAGATTGTATCATGTGTAAATTAATGAATGTATTTTAATAATTGTCTCCCATGATTCAAAAGTTTCAGACCAATCATGTATTTTCAAGAATATATGGTCTATAACACAAACTCAGTGTACATTTGATGAGAGAATGTCAATTTCCCAATATAATCAAAAAACTATATCATAAATGTCATCGGATTTTCTAAGATATGAAAATAGCGTGCACATTAACATTTTTTTATAAAGTCCTCCAAAAAAGTCCCATTTTTCCATTCATCTGTTGTTAATATCTCTTTGCACAAGATGTCTTAAAGGTTATTAAATAACATTTTTTTCTCTTCAAAGTAAAACATCGCTAACATTTCTTTTTCAGGAAAGGGGATGATAAATTCCTTTAAGATTTCTACACTTTGCACAGTTGTAATGAGAAAGTAGCTTTCATCCAAATGATAAAATATATTTTTCCATTCCTATGCCTCAGGATGTGGTAATTTGGACATAAATTTGAATTTATTTTACATTGTCTATAAATTATCTGTTTTAATCCTGACCCTAGCCTGACCTAGACAACACATAAACTTGAAAACTGATAATATTTTAAACCTCTCATCAAATTAATTTTTTGTCACATAAAAATCAGATATCAAATTCAGCTGGGACTTATCTGATCAAAGTTTGTAAAACTCATAATACAATCATGTATTCAGGTCTTCATTGAGTCCCATGTTCCTCTTGACACAATTACAAGTTATAAATGAAAAAGATTTGATATGGCGAATATTCCATTTAAGCCTGATGTTGGCGTGGACGAAAAATATCTTTTACTTTGTCATACGTGCAAGGATTTAAGGGTTATCTAAAGGAAGTCACATACAATGACAGAATAACCTCTAATTGTGTTTACACAAGTTTATGTAATAAGACCGTTTTTATTGACATTATAATTTATGATATCATTGTTTTATTTCATTGTAATCAATTTAAAGATGGCAGAAGCATAATATAGGACAGAGGCTGGAGAATACGATAACTTTGATATTTCAGTGAAATATGATGATAACGGATAGTAATCAAGCTCAAAAGTTCATTGAAACAATACAAATTTGGAGACAGTAAACAAGGACCTCTTAAAACATCACAGTTGAAATCAGAAGCCATGGAGGAGTAAACATCTCATGTCGACTGGTCACACCAGCCGTGTACTTCTTGTAATGATCGACTAAACGGAAAAATCCGTAGACAATTCAGTAAAAATAATGTCTGACATTTTGTATGAAAAACGTCAGTCAAAATTCGACTTACTGATACATTGTATTTGATGTATCATACTTAATTGATGTGCTTTCATTGAAAGAAGGAAGGATATGGATGTGTTGTTTTTTTTTAAATCAAAGTATTTCCTCTCAGTTAAAAACTTACGACAGATGTGACAGATGGAAAGAGGAGGAGATCGTTGATTCTATAGGAGTGGTTGAAGTGTTGAGGAAGTAATTTTTTTATACAAATATTTAGTCAAATTTCAAAGATTATACTCTATTAATTGATATGTTTACCTTGGATGCGCTGTATTTAATTGTTATAACTGTTAATTGTTATATTCTTTTTGCTGTTTGTCATTTATCAAAAGACCCACTTGTTGCAATAAGTACAAACATTTCATCAACGTATTACTAGTATTTGTTTTTCTTTTTTCCTAAACTATTTTGCTTCATTGATTTCTCAAAAAGATGAAAGATTTCATAAAACTGTTAGGGATACAAGGACATGCAATAATAGCCATTAATTTATATATATAAAAAAAAAACAAGTTCACCTCTCCACATCCTAGAATTTTAGGCCACTGTCTTTCTAATATCTCGATAAATGTCAAATTTAAGTCCTTGCACGTTCTCCTTCAAAGGCGAAGAATACACAAAGTTTTGCTTCGACATTTTGAATTTAACAATCGTTGTTTCTTAGACCGTCCTATTTCCAGGACTGTGGTGAAGATGTTTTGAATCCCATATACCATTTATAAACAATATCTATATTAACGTTGTAGTTTGTTATGTCACTTTTTTATTCTTGTCACTAAGGGTGAGATGTCACAATACAATATTATATAACATCCCAGTGCTACAGGGACGTGTTTGACGACGTCATTTACAGCAAACTCGATTCAAAGTACGCCTGGAAAATTGCATCACCACACCCCATTTCTCTCTCCGATGCCATTTACGTGAAAATTTTATATATCATGCCGGCTTGTTTTCTGATCTAATCGATACATAAACTGAATTTGATGTTTTACATATTTTCAGAAAAAACATATGCAATTGCAAAAGAAACATGCATGAATTATCCTGGATTGTAAGCGTGCAACGACAGAGAATAACGGCTTTCTCAAAATATTATTACAATGAAAGATTTTCATTTAAGAATTCAATATTTTAAGGACCATTTGATAAATAATAGTCATGCAAAACTTGTTTGATATTGGTTGAGTGTTAACATAAGATATAAACCTTGTCTATGACTTTTTGGGACAACCCTCGTATTTATTTATCTTAATTTATGAAGAATTAACAAAACTAAACTTTTTTTTTTTTTTTTTTTTTTTTTTTTTTTTGAAGAAAGGGATACCAAATAAAGAATGAAGAAGTCACAAAAGTAACATATTGCACCAACCATATTGACAACACTTCCAGAAATAAAAGCATTAAATAGATGAAAAATGTGTAATTTTTGCTTCTCTTTCCATCTTTGAAACTAAAGGATGTCTGAAGCTACAGTTCAGATTTGTTTTTTTTATAATTTGGGCGGAATGCCTCCTCGTTACCATGAATTAGATCTCTTATTGTTAAATTCATATTTTCGTTTACATGTAAATCTTTTATAATGATCTAAATGCAGTTTTATTATCGTTTTTTTTTTCTTAAACTAAGTGCCGTCACGATAGTTCAGTCGGTAGAGCGCTCGCTTCGTGGTTGGAAGGTCGTGTATTCGAATCACGGTCGTGACTGACCTAAGTCGATAAAAAGTAGGTAGCATCTGTTCCTTTGCCAAGCGCCCTGCACCTTGAAGTGAAAGTTGCAGGTCCTTTGAATGAGACCTTAAAAACCGAGGCCCCGTGTCACGGTAGGCGTTCGCACGATGAAGAACCTTCACTACTCAATGGCACTGAGTGCCGAGTAAAGGTCTAAATTTGAAGCCCTTCATCGGTATATGGTGACGTCTCTATATGAGTGAAAAATTCTCAAACGGGACATAAAACAACAAATAATTAATCAATCAATATAAAACTATTGTTTTATATTTTTGTAATGATTGATTGATTGCATATGGTGTTATTGTATCCTAACTGATTTGAGAAGCAAAAGCATATTCTGAGCAAAATCAATTTTTAATCCGAGGTATGCTATTAACAAAGGAGTTGATGTAACAAGGGCATCAAGAATTTCCTTCATGGTCAACACCTCGCAGAATTTGTTCTTCGATACAATGACAGTGTTTCCAAATACAACCTGTCGTTAAGTCTATTGTTGACTTATTTTATAAAATACGAATAGATACATGTAATATTCATACTGCTTTTTACATATATGAATTAATCCGTTTACCTAGCAAATACAAAGGAATCATGTCAGTTGTGACCTGTCAACAAGTGATGTTTATTCCTCCAAGATACTTGATCCCACCTGTAATTTTTTTCAAGATTCTGTGTTTGTTCTGTTCATAGTAATATTTAATTGGATTTTCGATCTCGATTGCTGTAAGTTATCGAAATACATGCACCTACATCTGCATAGCCATGAAAGTATTCGCTTCTCTCTACGTTATATGCTTTAATTTAATTGATATTTCCGTGCGTTTTGTAAACCCCTAATATGTTTCCGTTCCCATCCCTCTATAAATTGAGAAAGAAAAAATAATACATTTATCTGAATATATGTATTACACTAGAACAGCAGATTGAAAAAAATATTTGTTGGTGAAAGAAAATGAGTTTCCTGCTGTTTTGTATTTTATCAGGTAAGTTGATCCAAATTATCCTAAAAAGTTTAGGAATTTGTGCTATTTTGTAAACATTCTTGCTATTTGCGTGTGTGTTTAGATCCAAATACAATGAGTCTCTAGATTAATATTTTTGCTAAATTTTATGCACAAAAAGGATGTCTGGCCCATGCGTGTGACCTTAACTCATTGCCTCAATGCGTGGACGAAAAAGGTTCCTTCACAGAGCTTTTGATCAATTTTCAATCAAGAAAAATTTTTACAACTGTTGATGCCCAAAATGGCATAAACGGATATTGCAAGTAAGTTGATATTTTTGTTTTAAATTTGATTTTACTTCACAAATATGCACATGCAAAATAAATGATATCCTTTTGAAAATGCTATTGCTGAAATTAATTAGGGTATGCAAAATACTCTTGTTAAATCTTTTACCGTCAATGCTCCAACAAAGTTTCTCAGGAAAAGCAATTCTATATTAAAATTGATTTATTTTTGTGAAGTTTGCCACAAAACAATCAGGTGCGTCACTGAAATATTTATCATAGAGCCTTTCTGCCTTTTGTTTATCTGGAATAGGTTCCAGGGGAAGCTAGTGTCGTGTCTTCGGGATATGAAAAGGTCATGTGTATCTCCAAACAGCCTCTCGTTAAGCTGGACATGATGATTTCTGCTGTGAAATACCTGTGCACAGAAGGAAAGCAGGGTACTAAGATTTATGCATAGTGCAATTCTACATAACATATCAACAGAAACTATTATACATTTGTATTACTTTCAATTCAAATATCATCAAAACCTTACAGATAAAGATACCGAAAAACATTATATAACGCATCTTCACGTTAGGAGACATATCTTGATCTTTTCAAAACATTAGCTATAGGTATTCATTTTTACCCTTTTCCTCATCAAATTATAAAAAAAATCAAAAGATAGAAGAAATAAAAAAAAATAAAAATAAAATGTTAAAAGTGATGAAATAATTATCTTTCTTTAATAGGGTTCATAGAAAACTTTCAGTGCGTGATGAACAAGTTTGTGGTGAATCAAACCAGTCTTCTGTCTTGTGCGAAATTATTTAGAGAACTTATGGAAATAGAAAACCGCAAAACTGTCTCTGATGTTTCTAGTAAAGAATGCAGGTAATTTAAATTCTACAATACAACCATCACGATGTTTATATATACCGTAAATCTGGAAATTTTTGCTGTAGATAAATTTTTAGCAAATTTGCGCGTGCATTGCATTCGCAAAAATATATTTCTTAAAAATAAATCAACGACAAAAAAAATGACAACAAAAATGTTTGCTATTTTTTAATAAGTTTAACAGGTGTTCGTAAGCAGTGGTTATTTTAAGAAATCTGTTTATACTACAAGCTTATAATTACCCGTGACAATCCGTGCGTAGGACTGCCTTGTAGAGTTCACTACATTCAACATCGTTCGATGGTTTTACAGGCGGTATGTCTCTTTTAAATTATTTCTCTAAGAAAGAGAGACCAGTTGTTTTATTTAAGAACAAATGTTTTTACCTGAAGGTTAGTTAAAGCTGAAATCGTTTTATATATATTTTTTTTTACATGCGTGATTTATTTAAATGTTATGAAAACGTTAAATAGTTTATATGTTTTATCTCTTAAATTCTAATATTTTTATCTGATTATTGAACATTGGAATTGTTTAGCATTGTATGTACAAATGTAATTTATTGTAAGTACATGCGTAATTTATAATCCGATTATTAAATGTTGGCATCGTTTAATATTGTATGTACATGCGTAATTAATTGTATGTACTACATGCGTAACGTATAAACTGCTATGAAAATTTTAAGCGCTTTTTAATTTTAGCACCAATATCAATTCGCAAAATTTTGATACGTAAAAATTAATCAACAGCTTTTTGAACCAGATTCGCAAAAATAAATCGACGTAAAAATTTCCAGATTTACGGTATATATATATATATATATATATATATATATATATATATATATATATATATATATATATATATATATATATATATATATATATATATATATATATATATATATATATATATTAGGGATGTCAACGAATAGTCGACTATTCGACTATCAGTCGAATGGACCGACGATCGAAGAATAACAAAACGACATTAGAATAAATAAATTCAATAAAAGAGTGATAAAGAGATGGAATTCTCATCCTAACATTAAGAAAACGTCTTTCCTAAGACGCAGTCGAGAAGATAATTTTCCTCATTAAAAATGATGACTTTACATGTAGAGAGTATAGTAATTAGAAATGCTTCACTTCCGCGAGGATTATTTGTCAATTAATGTGTTGATTTTGTAATAAAATTATCGCGCTTTCTTTGTAAAATTATTAATTGGACTTGATCTCATACCATGTACCCATTATTGCCGTGGACATTACGATAATTATTTTAAAATTAATATTCTTTTACCTATTTTAAAGACATTTTGATAGTTGGTACAAAAAGTATATTCAAATGTTTAACATTATCCCAGATACCGTGTGTCCCACCTCCCCCATCATTTTGATAAGCTTTAAAAAATATGTATTACTGTCATTTTTTTGAGCTTCCTAAAAAACCGATTTTACAGACCGATTTATGAACATGAATGACGAGGAAATCATACATTTTGGAGAAATAAGAGGTCTATATTTAGTAAATATAAACACGCTATCCACATTTTAGGTCAATGTGAACATCTGTATGTAACATTTGATGTCACTTTTTAATAAAATTAAGAAAAGGGGATTCGGGGTTAAATATGTCATGTACCAGTGAAGTTTGAAATAAAATTTTAGATTCCGAAAAAGTTTCGAATTTATTCGACTATCGTTCGGATAATGCAATCGAATATTCGACTAAAGAAAATAAATATTTTGACATCCCTAATATATATATATATATATATATATATATATATATATATATATATATATATATATATATATATATATATATATATATATATATATATATATATATATATATATATATATATATATATGGATTAGTCCGTTTACCCACCAAAGACAAAGGACTCATGTTAGGTGTGAATGGTCAAGAAGTGATGTTTATTCCTTATATGTTCTGTGTTTGACTCCAAAGTACGATGGTCTCACAAAATTCCGATGGTTTGTTTCCTATGAGACGTGCTGCGCTTAAGTGTGATGGTTTGGCACGCCAAAGTTTAAAAATAAAAGGTTTAAACTGATGAAATAATTAACTTTGTTCAAAAGGATTCCTCCGATAGTGCGCAGAAACAATCAATGTTTATGACGTCACAATCATCCGACGTCTATCCTTCACGCCGTTGTCCTTAATTGAAAAGCCAGTAATTTAACTTTTAGTTATTGCTTGAATAAACCTGAGATATTAGGGTTAGTCTCGACTGATAAGGATAGCCCATGCACACTTTTGGACTGATTCTTGGAAAGCTTCGCACCCAACAGAGAAATTATGGGTTAGTCCTCGAACACTGTGCGATTGAATAGGGTAAGTCTTGTACCCACAAGGAGATTTAAGGTAGGTCCTTGTACACTATTCGACTGATTAGGGTTAATCTCTCTCCCACCATTGATATCTAGGTTACTTGTTGCTCCCTTTTCCAGCGATTACGGTTATTCCTGCATCCATTCCAGTGGTTAGGTAAGCCGTGCACGGGAAATTATGGCTAGTAGTTCTATATCATTTTAGCGTATTCGAGTGAACCAATTTACTTGGAACCGCGATAAAATATTGAATATTCATTTGCATTTATTTAGAATCGTCGAACCTTTTATGGCACGGCATCCCAATTTGGCGCAGTAGTTACTATGACATCATAAACGTGAACTGTTTTTTGTTATCATATATATACTTAAATACATTAAAAAGAGTTTTTAAATGATTTTTATCTGAATTTTATGAAATTCACAGGTTATTAGGCAAAACTTTGACCTGTATTGATGACAAGGCCCAAAATTTGTGTGGTGGCAAAGCAACAACTTATATCCATTCTTATATGAAAGCCTCGTTCAAACCACTGACGGAGGGCATAACATGTAACAATAGTAAGTATCTTTGCAAAACAAATTATTTTCAGATCATGCCTGATTTTGGCGATGCTTGATATATCTGACGGGACGCGATGTTTGATATATCTGACGGGAAATAATAAAAAATAAATTTCGCGTTTTCCTAAATATTGCAGGATAATCTACCGAGTCGAAAAATATAAAAGTTAAAAAGCCCCGTTGAACAACCCCTTTTAGCTTTACAGTTCGACACTTATCAACTGATTTAGGCATTGAATACACAGTGCAAGGCTCTACACATCAATATTGTCTATACAAGTATTACATTCTAAAGTGATATATTCAATTCACCTGTTCAAGTTTCATATGTCTTTCTGATCTGATAATCTTTTGATAACGTTCATGATTTACTGAAAAATATTACCAGCTGCGTTTCTTCGATCTCGTCAAGATAACTGTATAAGAATACATTTTTTGCATTATAATTTAGGACATACATTAATGTAATAGATGATTGATTGATCAATAATTTTCACTCATATAGAGACGTCAACATATACCGGTGAAACTTCAAATTTAGCCTATACTCGCTACTAAGGCTCATTGTGCAGTGAGGGTTCTTTATTGAATCAACTCCTACCGTGACAAGGGATCTCCTTTTAATGTCTCTTCTGAAAGACCCGGGACTTTCATTTCTAGTGCCGGGCGCTTGGCGAAAGGACAGCCACTAATAATTACCTATGTCTACGTCTGGCGCTTTGACGACGAATGAGAATCAAAACCGAGCATCCCAATTACGAACCGAGCGAACACTTGGATAAGAATGAATAATGTCATTTATTTGGTAAATGACCAAAAATATATACAAGACATGGGTCATTCATAACCATAAAGGAAATATTTTGTGACTTTCACTTCTTGTGCCGGGCGCTTAGCGAAGGAACAGTCACTACCTTTGTTAAACGTCTTCGGCTTGACGCGGGCGACAGGTAGGATACTCGAACACGGGACCTCCTGATCATGAAATAGTCTCCCTATCACTAGGCTGAAACAAGTCATAATACGGATAGATTACATTAAGTTGACAATATCAAAATGCCATCAAAAAAATTTAACTGGAATTTTTTTCAATACTTGTACTATTTTGTATGCCATCCAATTATTTAAATGCGGTACAATTTTAATACTCTCGGTTAAAACATGTATTGAAAAAGTTTGACAAAAAGAAATTTCATTTTAAAAAAAAAAACGTGAACATACTTAATTCTGAAATCTGTCATGGGTTTCGAACAAACTGGACACAAGGAGCATAAATTACGGAATCTCATATTTTTGACAAACTAAGACATGCCAAACATAGAGTTTTTTTAAATTAAATTTTAAAGCTTTATAAACGCTTTTAAACCAGCTTGAAATGTGTCAAAACAATACATGTTTACGGAGATATTTTGCACTTCAAATCTGCCTTTTTTTCGAATGTATATGTTTGGACACAATCTCTAGATTCCATTTAGGTCTGAGACATTATTAATGAATTTAGGAAAGACATCTTCTTGCCGAGGGATGAAAGGACTGTGGAGACATCAGTCTGATAATTTTCATATTCAGTCTAAGAGCATTCAATCATTTACTCCTTTTACGTTTTGATCATAATCACAATCTTTAATCTTTAAACTATGTATATATCAACATAAAATTCTTTATACATCGTTTTGATGCTACGAACGTCTTAAGGCTTTTACACAGTTAGTTTATAATGAACAGTTTCTGTATTTACAGGTCAGACGATAATCACACATTGGTGGACTTTCCTCATGATGTTTGTTACTTCAATTTGTCTCTTTAACGTTCTGTATGATTTCTGATGAAAATAAATAATTTATCACTTTATTGTCTTTTTTCAAAAACTTTCTTCATATGAATTTATTTTTCTTCGATGCCTATTTTGTTTTGAGAGCTTAAAGGTGCTTGGACACAGATTTGAAGTTAATATTTTCTCAAATTTTCTGCATAGTTTCATGACTTATATGTTCCTGTAGCATTTCATACTAAAATATAATAAAAATCTTATTTCATCTCGAAGTTATTAACACTTCAAATTTCTGGACGCGTTGGATTGACACATCCTTGCGCTTTCACATATTTTAATTTTATTCTTAATACTTAAGAAAAGTGGCAATTTTGTTGTGTATTAATAAAAAATATTAAAACTATAACCCAGAAAATTCAGAGTAGAAATGTTCGAAAGCAAAACCCACTCACAGTATTGTAAGTCCGTGCTCAGTGGTGTGTGCAGAGTTTAACAATTGAACACACCTGGTGAATCGTAAACATTAACAATAACAGATCTAGAGCTCATGCCCTGTTTACAAAAACAGTTTACGTTTCACGGGTGTGTTCAATTTGTTAAACTGTGTACACATCACAGAGCACGGACTGACAATACTGGTGAGCTGGTTTTGCTTTCAAACATTTCTACTCTAAATTTACTGGATTATAGATGTAATATTTTTCATTAATACATAACAAAATCGCTTCTTTTCTTTAATATTAAGGATAAAGTTAAAATTTGTGTAAGTGCAAAGATGTGTTAATCAAACGCGTCCCGGAATTCGTAGTTCCAATAATTTCCCGATAAAATAAGTTTTTAATATATTTTCGTGTCAAATGCTATTGCAATATATAAGTCGTGATATTATACAGAAAATTTGAGAAAATATTTAGTTCATATCTGTGTCTAAGCACCTTTAATGAATTTTTATAAGGAAATAAAACAGATTTGTTTAAAAGTGCCATCCTTGAAAATAAGGGTTGAAATGCATTCTTCATCTCAGAGAACAATACCATAAAAATATATATAATATCATAAAAACAATATCCTTCAAGCTGTTCTTCAAGGAAAAGCAATTTTCCCACTTTTCCATTGTGAGATTGTATCATGTGTAAATTAATGAATGTATTTTAATAATTGTCTCCCATGATTCAAAAGTTTCAGACCAATCATGTATTTTCAAGAATATGGTCTATAACACAAACTCAGTGTACATTTGATGAGAGAATGTCAATTTCCCAATATAATCAAAAAACTATTTCATAAATGTCATCGGATTTTCTAAGATATGAAAATAGCGTGCACATTAACGTTTTTTTTTAAAGTCCTCCAAAAAAGTCCCATTTTTCCATTCATCTGTCGTTAATATCTCTTTGCACAAGATGTCTTAAAGGTTATTAAATAACATTTTTTTCTCTTAAAAGTAAAACATCGCTAACATTTCTTTTTCAGGAAAGGGGATGATAAATTCCTTTAAGATTTCTACACTTTGCACAATTGTAATGAGAAGGTAGCTTTCATCCAAATGATAAAATATATTTTTCCATTCCTATGCCTCAGGATGTGGTAATTTATGTCCAAATTATTTTACATTGTCTATAAATTATCTTTTTTAATCCTGACCCTAGCCTGACCTAGACAATACATAAACTTGAAAACTAATAATATTATAAACCTCTCATCAAATAATTTTTTGTCACATAAAAATCAGATATCAAATTCAGCTGGGACTTATCTGATCAAAGTTTGTAAAACTCATAATACAATCATGTATTCAGGTCTTCATTGAGTCCCATGTTCCTCTTGACACAATTACAAGTTATAAATGAAAAAGATTTAATATATCGAATATTCCATTTAAGCCTGATGTTGGCGTGGACAAAAAATATCTTTTACTTTGTCATACGTGCAAGGATTCAAAGGTTATCTAAAGGAAGTCACATACAATGACTGAATAACCTCTAATTGTGTTTACACCAAGTTTATGCAATTAGACCGTTTTTATTGAGATTATAATTTATGATATCTTTGTTTTATTTGATTGTAATCAATTTAAAGATGACAGAAGTATAATATAGGACAGAGGCTGGAGAATACGATAACTTTGATATTTCAGTGAAATATGATGATAACGGATAGTAATCAAGCTCAAAAGTTCATTGAAACAATACAAATTCGGAGACAGTAAACAAGGACCTCTAAAAACATCACAGTTGAAATCAGAAGCCATGGAGGAGTAAACGTGTCATGTCGACTGGTCACTCCCGCCGTGTACTTCTTGTAATGATTGACCAAACGGAAAAATCCGCAGACAATTCAGTAAAAATAATGTCTGACAATTTGTATGAAAAACGTCAGTCAAAATTCGCTTTACTGATACATTGTATTTGATGCATCATACTTAAACGATGTGCTTTCATTGAAAGAAGGAAGGATATCGATTTGAAAGTCCAAAAATCAAAGTATTTCCTCTCATTTAATAAGTTAAGAGAGATGTGACAGATGGAAAGAGGAAGAGATCGTTGATTCTATAGGAGTGGTTCAAGTGTTGAGGAAATAATGTTTGTTTTTTTACAAATATTATGTCAAATTTCAAACATTGGGCTCTAGAAATTGACCTTGGATGCGGTGTATTTCATTGTTGTAACTGTTAATTGTTATATTCTTTTTGCTGTTTGTCGTTTATCAAAAGACCCACTTGTTGCAATAAAATCAAACATTTTATCAACGTATTACTAGTATTTGTTTTTCTTTTGTCCCGAACTATTTTGCTTGTGTGATTTCTCAAAAAGACGAAAGATTTCATAAAACTGTTAGGGATACAAGGACATGCAATAATAGCTTTTAATTTATTTTTAAAAAACAAGTTCACCTCTCCACTTCCTAGAATTTTAAGCAACCGTCTTTCTAATATCTCGATAAAAGTCAAATTTAAAACCTTGCACGTTCTCCTAGATAATGTCGTCTTGAAACTATGAAAATTTCAACAATTTTTAGATACAAGAAATATGATAAGAATCCCTCCGTAAGTCGATTGTTGACTTATTTTATAAAATACGAGTAGATACATGTAATTTTCATACTGCTTTTTACATATATGAATTAATCCGTTTACCTAGCAAATACAAAGGAATCATGTCAGTTGTGACCTGTCAACAAGTGATGTTTATTCCTCCAAGATACTTGATCCCACCTATAATTTTTTTTTCAAGATTCTGTGTTTGTTCTGTTCACAGTAATATTTAATTGGATTTTTGATCTCGATTGCTGTAAGTTATCGAAATACATGCACCTACATCTGCATAGCCATGAAAGTATTCGCTTCTCTCTACGTTATATGCTTTAATTTAATTGATATTTCCGTGCATTTTGTAAACCCCTAATATGTTTCCGTTCCTATCCCCCTATAAATTGAGGAAGAAAACATAATACATTTATCTGAATATATGTATTACACTAGAGCAGCAGATTAAAACAATATTTATTGGTTAAAGAAAATGAGTTTCCTGCTGTTTTGTATCTTATCAGGTAAGTTGAACTAAATTATCCTAAAAGGTTTAAGAATTTGTGTTATTTTGTAAATATTCTTGCTATTTGCGTGTGTGTTTAGATCCAAATACGACGAGTCTCTAGATTAATATTTTTGCTGAATTTTTTGCACAAAAAGGATGCCTGGCCCATGCATGTGACCTTGACTCATTGCCTCAATGCGTGGACGCAAAAGGTTCTTTCAGCGAGCTTTTGATCAATTTTCAATCACGAAAAAATCTTACAACTGTTGATGCCCAAAACAGCGTAAACGAATATTGCAAGTAAGTTGATAATTAATTCTAGTTAACACTAGAAAGAAAAAAATGAAAGTAAATTCAAAATTAAATTGCCAAACTTTTTAAAGAAACTAAATCAACAAGAAGATGCAGATGAACACATTTTTTTTCATTAATTTTGTTTTAAATTTGATTTTACTTCACAAAAATGCACATGTGAAATAAATGATATCCTTTTGAAAATGCTATTGACGAAATTAGGGTATGTAAAATACTCTTGTTAAATCTTTTACCGTTAATGCTCTAACAAAGTTTCTCAGGAAAAGCAGTTCTATGTTAAAATTGATTTATTTTTGTGAAACAATCAGGCGCATCACTGAAATATTCATCATAGAGCCTTTCTGCCTTTTGTTTATCATGGAATAGGTTCCAGGGGAAGCTAGTGTCGTGTCTTCAGGATATGAAAAGATCATGTGTATCTCCAAACAGCCTCTCATTAACCTTGGACATGAGGATTTCTGCTGAGAAATACCTATGCACAGAAGGAAAGCAGGGTACTAAGATTTATGCATAATGCGATTCTACATAACATATCAACAGAAACTATTATACATTTGTATTACTTTCAATTCAAATATCATGAAAACGTTACAGATGAAGATACCGAAAAACATTATATAACGCATCTTCACGTTAGGAGACATATCTTAATCTTTTCAAAACATTAGCTATAGGTATTCATTTTTACCCTTTTCCTCATCAAATTATAAAAAAAAATCAATAGATAGAAGAAATAAAAAAAATAAAAATAAAATGTTAAACTGATGAAATATTTCTCTTTATTTAATAGGGTTCATAGAAAACTTTCAGTGCGCGATGGACAAGTTTGTGGTGAATCAAACCAGTCTTCTGTCTTGTGCGAAATTATTTACAGAACTTATCGAAATAGAAAACCGCAAAACTGTCTCTGATGTTTCTAGTAAAGAATGCAGGTAATTTAAATTCTACAATACAACCATCACGATGTTTATATATACAGTAAATCTGGAAATTTTTGCTGTAGATAAATTTTTAGCAAATTTGCGCGTGCATTGCATTCGCAAAAATATATTTCTTAAAAATAAATCAACGACAAAAAAAATGACAACAAAAATGTTTGCTATTTTTTAATAAGTTTAACAGGTGTTCGTAAGCAGCGGTCATTTTAAGAAATCTGTTTATACTACAAGCTTATAATTACCCGTGACAATCCGTGCGTAGGACTGCCTTGTAGAGTTCACTACATTCAACATCGTTCGATGGTTTTACAGGCGGTATGTCTCTTTTAAATTATTTCTCTAAGAAAGAGAGGCCAGTTGTTTTATTTAAGAACAAATGTTTTTACCTGAAGGTTAGTTAAATCTGACATCGTTTTATATATATTTTTTTTTACATGCGTGATTTATTAAAATGTTATGAAAACGTTAAATAGTTTATATGTTTTATCTCTTAAATTCTAATATTTTTATCTGATTATTGAACATTGGAATTGTTTAGCATTGTATGTACAAATGTAATTTATTGTAAGTACATGCGTAATTTATAATCCGATTATTAAATGTTGGCATCGTTTAATATTGTATGTACATGCGTAATTAATTGTATGTACTACATGCGTAACGTATAAACTGCTATGAAAATTTTAAGCGCTTTTTAATTTTAGCACCAATATCAATTCGCAAAATTTTGATACGTAAAAATTAATCAACAGCTTTTTGAACCAGATTCTCAAAAATAAATCGACGTAAAAATTTCCAGATTTACGGTATATATATATATATATATATATATATATATATATATATATATATATATATATATATATATATATATATATATATATATATATATTAGGGATGTCAACGAATAGTCGACTATTCGACTATCAGTCGAATGGACCGACGATCGAAGAATAACGAAACGACATTAGAATAAATAAATTCAATAAAAGAGTGATAAAGAGATGGAATTCTCATCCTAATATTAAGAAACCGTCTTTCCTAAGACGCAGTCGAGAAGATAATTTTCCTCATTAAAAATGATGACTTTACATGTAGAGAGTATAGTAATTAGAAATGCTTCACTTCCGCGAGGATTATTTGTCAATTAATGTGTTGATTTTGTAATAAAATTATCGCGCTTTCTTTTTAAAATTATTAATTGGACTTGATCTCATACCATGTACCCATTATTGCCGTGGACATTACGATAATTATTTTAAAATTAATATTCTTTTACCTATTTTAAAGACATTTTGATAGTTGGTACAAAAAGTATATTCAAATGTTTAACATTATCACAGATACCGTGTGTCCCACCTCCCCCATCATTTTGATAAGCTTTAAAAAATATGTATTACTGTCATTTTTTTGAGCTTCCTAAAAAACCGATTTTACAGACCGATTTATGAACATGAATGACGAGGAAATCATACATTTTGGAGAAATAAGAGGTCTATATTTAGTAAATATAAACACGCTATCCACATTTTAGGTCAATGTGAACATCTGTATGTAACATTTGATGTCACTCTTTAATAAAATTAAGAAAAGGGGATTCGGGGTTAAATATGTCATGTACCAGTGAAGTTTGAAATAAAATTTTAGATTCCGAAAAAGTTTCGAATATATTCGACTATCGTTCGGATAATGCAATCGAATATTCGACTAAAGAAAATAAATATTTTGACATCCCTAATATATATATATATATATATATATATATATATATATATATATATATATATATATATATATATATATATATATATATATATATATATATATATGGATTAGTCCGTTTACCCACCAAAGACAAAGGACTCATGTTAGGTGTGAATGGTCAAGAAGTGATGTTTATTCCTTATATGTTCTGTGTTTGACTCCAAAGTACGATGGTCTCACAAAATTCCGATGGTTTGTTTACTATGAGACGTGCTGCGCTTAAGTGTGATGGTTTGGCACGTCAAAGTTTAAAAATAAAAGGTTTAAACTGATGAAATAATTAACTTTGTTCAAAAGGATTCCTCCGATAGTGCGCAGAAACAATCAATGTTTATGACGTCACAATCATCCGACGTCTATCCTTCACGCCGTTGTCCTTAATTGAAAAGCCAGTAATTTAACTTTTAGTTATTGCTTGAATAAACCTGAGATATTAGGGTTAGTCTCGACCGATAAGGGTAGCCCATGCACACTTTTGGACTGATTCTTGGAAAGCTTCGGACCCAACAGAGAAATTATGGGTTAGTCCTCGAACACTGTGCGATTGAATAGGGTAAGTCTTGTACCCACCAAGGAGATTTAAGGTAGGTCCTTGTACACTATTCGACTGATTAGGGTTAATCTCTCTCCCACCATTGATATCTAGGTTACTTGTTGCTCCCTTTTCCAGCGATTACGGTTATTCCTGCATCCATTCCAGTGGTTAGGTAAGCCGTGCACGGGAAATTATGGCTAGTAGTTCTATATCATTTTAGCGTATTCGAGTGAACCAATTTACTTGGAACCGCAATAAAATATTGAATATTCATTTGCATTTATTTAGAATCGTCGAACCTTTTATGGCACGGCATCCCAATTTGGCGCAGTAGTTACTATGACGTCATAAACGTGAACTGTTTTTTGTTATCATATATATACTTAAATACATTAAAAAGAGTTTTTAAATGATTTTTATCTGAATTTTATGAAATTCACAGGTTATTAGGCAAAACTTTGACCTGTATTGATGACAAGGCCCAAAATTTGTGTGGTGGCAAAGCAACAACTTATATCCATTCTTATATGAAAGCCTCGTTCAAACCACTGACGGAGGGCATAACATGTAACAATAGTAAGTATCTTTGCAAAACAAATTATTTTCAGATCATGCCTGATTTTGGCGATGTTTGATATATCTGACGGGATGCGATGTTTGATATATCTGACGGGAAATAATAAAAAATAAATTTAGCGTTTTCCTAAATATTGCAGGATAATCTACCGAGTCGAAAAATATAAAAGTTAAAAAGCCCCGTTGAACAACCCCTTTTAGCTTTACAGTTCGACACTTATCAACTGATTTAGGCATTGAATACACAGTGCAAGGCTCTACACATCAATATTGTCTATACAAGTATTACATTCTAAAGTGATATATTCAATTCACCTGTTCAAGTTTCATATGTCTTTCTGATCTGATAATCTTTTGATAACGTTCATGATTTACTGAAAAATATTACCAGCTGCGTTTCTTCGATCTCGTCAAAATAACTGTATAAGAATACATTTTTTGCATTATAATTTAGGACATACATTAATGTAATAGATGATTGATTGATCAATAATTTTCACTCATATAGAGACGTCAGCATATACCGGTGAAACTTCAAATTTAGCCTATACTCGCTACTAAGGCTCATTGTGCAGTGAGGGTTCTTTATTGAATCAACTCCTACCGTGACAAGGGATCTCCTTTTAATGTCTCCTCTGAAAGACCCGGGACTTTCATTTCTAGTGCCGGGCGCTTGGCGAAAGGACAGCCACTAATAATTACCTATGTCTACGTCTGGCGCTTTGACGACGAATGAGAATCAAAGCCGAGCATCCCAATTACGAACCGAGCGAACACTTGGATAAGAATAAATAATGTCATTTATTTGGTAAATGACCAAAAATATATACAAGACATGGGTCATTCATAACCATAAAGGAAATATTTTGTGACTTTCACTTCTTGTGCCGGGCGCTTAGCGAAGGAACAGTCACTACCTTTGTTAAACGTCTTCGGCTTGACGCGGGCGACAGGTAGGATACTCGAACACGGGACCTCCTGATCATGAAATAATCTCCCTATCACTAGGCTGAAACAAGTCATAATACGGATAGATTACATTAAGTTGACAATATCAAAATGCCATCAAAAAAATTTAACGGGAATTTTTTTTAATACTTGTACTATTTTGTATGCCATCCAATTATTTAAATGCGGTACAATTTTAAGACTCTCGGTTAAAACATGTATTGAAAAAGTTTGACAAAAAGAAATTTCATTTTAAAAAAAAACTTGAACATACTTAATTCTGAAATCTGTCATGGGTTTCGAACAAACTGGACACAAGGAGCATAAATTACGGAATCTCATATTTTTGACAAACTAAGACATGCCAAACATAGAGTTTTTTTAAAATTAAATTTTAAAGCTTTATAAACGCTTTTAAACGAGCTTGAAATGTGTCAAAACAATACATGTTTACGGAGATATTTTGCACTTCAAATCTGCCTTTTTTCGAATGTATATGTTTGGACACAATTTCTAGATTCCATTTAGGTCTGAGACATTATTAATGAATTTAGGAAAGATAACTTCTTGCCGAGGGATGAAAGGACTGTGGAGACATCAGTCTGATAATTTTCATATTCAGTCTTAGAGCATTCAATCATTTACTCCTTTTACGTTTTGATTATAATCACAATCTTTAATCTTTAAACTATGTTTATATCAACATAAAATTCTTTATACATCGTTTTGATGCTACGAACATCGTAAGGCTTTTACACAGTTAGTTTGTAATGAACAGTTTCTGTATTTACAGGTCAGACGATAATCACACATTGGTGGACTTTCCTCATGATGTTTGTTACTTCAGTTTGTCTCTTTAACGTTCTGTATGATTTCTGATGAAAATAAATAATTTATCACTTTATTGTCTTTTTCAAAAACTTTCTTCATATGAATTTATTTTTCTTCGATGCCTATTTTGTTTTGAGAGCTTAAAGGTGCTTGGACACAGATTTGAAGTTAATATTTTCTCAAATTTTCTGTATAATTTCATGACTTATATGTTCCTATAGCATTTCATACTAAAATATAATAAAAATCTTATTTCATCTCGAAGTTATTAACACTTCAAATTTCTGGGCGCGTTGGATTGACACATCCTTGCGCTTTCACATATTTTAATTTTATTCTTAATACTTAAGAAAAGTGGCAATTTTGTTGTGTATTAATGAAAAATATTAAAACTATAACCCAGAAAATTCAGAGTAGAAATGTTCGAAAGCAAAACCCACTCACAGTATTGTAACTCCGTGCTCAGTGGTGTGTGCAGAGTTTAACAATTGAACACACCTGGTGAATCGTAAACATTAACAATAATAGAGCTCGTGCCCTGTTTACAAAAACAGTTTACGTTTCACGGGTGTGTTCAATTTGTTAAACTCTGTACACATCACAGAGCACGGACTGACAATACTGGTGAGCTGGTTTTGCTTTCGAACATTTCTACTCTGAATTTACTGGATTATAGATGTAATATTTTTCATTAATACATAACAAAATCGCTTCTTTTCTTTAATATTAAGGATAAAGTTAAAATTTGTGTAAGTGCAAAGATGTGTTAATCAAACGCGTCCCGGAATTCGTAGTTCCAATAATTTCCCGATAAAATAAGTTTTTAATTATATTTTCGTGTCAAATGCTATTGCAATATATAAGTCGTGATATTATACAGAAAATTTGAGAAAAATATTTAGTTCATATCTGTGTCTAAGCACCTTTAATAAATTTTTGAGAGGAAATAAAACGAATAAAACAGATTTGTTTAAAAGTGCCATCCTTGAAAATAAGGGTTGAAATGCATTCTTCATCTCAGAGAACAATACCATAAATATATATATAATATCATAAAAACAATATCCTTCAAGCTGTTCTTCAAGGAAAAGCAATTTTCCCACTTTTCCATTGTGAGATTGTATCATGTGTAAATTAATGAATGTATTTTAATAATTGTCTCCCATGATTCAAAAGTTTCAGACCAATCATGTATTTTCAAGAATATATGGTCTATAACACAAACTCAGTGTACATTTGATGAGAGAATGTCAATTTCCCAATATAATCAAAAAACTATTTCATAAATGTCATCGGATTTTCTAAGATATGAAAATAGCGTGCACATTAACTTTTTTTATAAAGTCCTCCAAAAAAGTCCCATTTTTCCATTCATCTGTCGTTAATATCTCTTTGCACAAGATGTCTTAAAGGTTATTAAATAAGATTTTTTTCTCTTAAAAGTAAAACATCGCTAACATTTCTTTTTCAGGAAAGGGGATGATAAATTCCTTAAAGATTTCTACACTTTGCACGATTGTAATGAGAAGGTAGCTTTCATCCAAATGATAAAATATATTTTTCCATTCCTATGCCTCAGGATGTGGTAATTTGGACATAAATTTGAATTTATTTTACATTGTCTATAAATTATCTGTTTTAATTCTGACCCTAGCCTGACCTAGACAATACATAAACTTGAAAACTAATAATATTATAAACCTCTCATCAAAATAATTTTTTGTCACATAAAAATCAGATATCAAATTCAGCTGGGGCTTATCTGATCAAAGTTTGTAAAACTCATAATACAATCATGTATTCAGGTCTTCATTGAGCCCCATGTTCCTCTTGACACAATTACAAGTTATAAATGAAAAAGATTTAATATGTCGAATATTCCATTTAAGCCTGATGTTGGCGTGGACGAAAGATATCTTTTACTTTGTCATACGTGCAAGGATTCAAGGGTTATCTAAAGGAAGTCAAATACAATGACTGAATAAGCTCTAATTGTGTTTACATCAAGTTTATGTAATAAGACCGTTTTTATTGACATTATAATTTATGATATCATTGTTTTATTTGATTGTAATCAATTTAAAGATGACAGAAGCATAATATAGGACAGAGGCTGGAGAATACGATAACTTTGATATTTCAGTGAAATATGATGATAACTGATAGTAATCAAGCTCAAAAGTTCATTGAAACAATACAAATTCGGAGACAGTAAACAAGGACCTCTAAAAACATCACAGTTGAAATCAGAAGCCATGGAGGAGTAAACATCTCATGTCGACTTGTCACTCCCGCCGTGTACTTCTTGTAATGATTGACCAAACGGACAATTCAGTAAAAATAATGTCTGACAATTTGTATGAAAAACGTCAGTCAAAATTCGATTTACTGATACATTGTATTTGATGTGTCATACTTAAACGATGTGCTTTCATTGAAAGAAGGAAGGATATCGATTTGAAAGTCCAAAAATCAAGTATTTCCTCTCAGTTAATAAGTTAAGAGAGATGTGACAGATGGAAAGAGGAAGAGATCGTTGATTCTATAGGAGTGGTTCAAGTGTTGAGGAAATAATGTTTGTTTTTTTACAAATATTATGTCAAATTTCAAACATTTGGCTCTAGAAATTGACCTTGGATGCGGTGTATTTCATTGTTGTAACTGTTAATTGTTATATTCTTTTTGCTGTTTGTCGTTTATCAAAAGACCCACTTGTTGCAATAAAATCAAACATTTTATCAACGTATTACTAGTATTTGTTTTTCTTTTGTCCCGAACTATTTTGCTTGTGTGATTTCTCAAAAAGACGAAAGATTTCATAAAACTGTTAGGGATACAAGGACATGCAATAATAGCTTTTAATTTATTTTTAAAAAACAAGTTCACCTCTCCACTTCCTAGAATTTTAAGCCACCGTCTTTCTAATATCTCGATAAAAGTCAAATTTAAGTCCTTGCACGTTCTCCTTCAAAGGTGAGGAATACACGAAGTTTTGCTTCGACTTTTTGAATTTAAAAATCATTGTTTCTTAGACCGTCCTATTTCCAGTACTGAGGTGAAGATGTTCTGAATCCCATATACTGTTTATAAATAATATCTATATTAACGTTGTAGCTTGTCAGGTCACATCTTTATTTTATTCTTGTCACTACGGGTGAGATGTCACAATATAATATTATATAATATCCCAGTGCTCCGGGGAGGCGTTTGACGACGTCTTTACAGGAAACTCGATCCAAAGTACGCTTGGAAAATTGCATCACCTCACCCCCTCTCTCTCTCTCTCCGATTCTATTTACGTGAAAATTTGATATATGATGCCGGCTTATTTTCTGATCTAATATAAATTGAATCTGATGTCTTACATATTTTCAGAGAAACATATGCAATTGCAATGGAAATATACGTAAATTATCCAAGATTGTGAGCGTGCGACGACAGAGCATAACGGCTTTCTAAAAATATTATTACTATGAAAGATTTTCATTTAAGAATTCAATATTTTAAGGAACATTTGATAAATAATAGCCATACAAAACTTGTTTGATATTGGTTGAGTGTTAACATAAGATATAAACCTTGTCTATGACTTTTTGGAACAACCATCGTATATTTATTTATCTTAATTTATGAAGAATTAAAAAAAAGAAAACTCTTTTTTTAATCGACACTTCCACTCAAACACGTAGGGAGGGGGGGGGGTTAATAAAAACCTTTTTTTTTTTTTGAAGAAAGGGATACCCAATAAAGAATGAACAAGTCACAAAAGTAACATGTTGTCAACACTTCCAGAAAAAAGCATTAAATAGATGAAAAATGGTAGAGCGCTCGCTTCGTGGTTGGAAGGTAGTGTGTTCGAATCACGGTCGTGACTGACCTAAGTCGATTAAAAATAGGTAGCAACTGTTCCTTCGCCAAGCGCTCTGTACCTTGAAGTGAAAGTTGTAGATCCTTTGGATGAGACCTTAAAAACCGAGGCCCCGTGTCACGGTAGGTGTTGGCACGATGAAGAACCCTCACTACTCAATGGCACTGAGTGCCAAGTAAAGCTCAAAATTTGAAGCCCTTCACCGGTATATGGTGACATCTCTATATGAGTGAAAAATTCTCAAACGGGACGTAAAACAACATATAATTAATCAATCAATCTAAAACTATTGTTTTATATTTTTGTAATGATTGATATTGCATATGGTGTTATTGAATCCCATTTGATTTGAGAAGCAAAAGCATATTCTGAGCAAAATCATTTTTTTTAATCTGAGGAATGCTATTAAAAAGGACTTGATTAGCCAATATCTATTTAATTTAAATTATTTATGTCAAATTGGTAGTATCATCTAATAGACCCTATATGGTAATATCTTTTTTATTCAAAAATAAAAACATTTAATCTTTTGAAATAGAAGTAGGTATCGCATGATTGGCAACAGTAATTTTTTTTATTTTTTAGGTCAAAGAAACAGATAATGACCTTGACCTGACCTTGCTTTTAAAATGAAACGGCCCAATTCAATCTAATTGATACTATCACTTAATGATAATGTCGTCTTGAAACTATGAAAATTTCAACAATTTTTAGATACAAAAAATATGATAAGAATCCCTCCGTAAGTCGATTGTTGACTTATTTTATAAAATACGAGTAGATACATGTAATTTTCATACTGCTTTTTACATATATGAATTTATCCGTTTACCTAGCAAATACAAAGGAATCATGTCAGTTGTGACCTGTCAACAAGTGATGTTTATTCCTCCAAGATACTTGATCCCACCTATAATTTTTTTTTCAAGATTCTGTGTTTGTTCTGTTCACAGTAATATTTAATTGGATTTTTGATCTCGATTGCTGTAAGTTATCTAAATACATGCACCTACATCTGCATAGCCACGAAAGTATTCGCTTCTCTCTACGTTATATACTTTAATTTAATTGATATTTCCGTCCGTTTTGTAAACCCCTAATATGTTTCCGTTCCTATCCCCCTATAATTGAGGAAGAAAACATAATACATTTATCTGAATATATGTATTACACTAGAACAGCAGATTAAAAAAATATTTATTGGTTAAAGAAAATGAGTTTCCTGCTGTTTTGTATCTTATCAGGTAAGTTGAACTAAATTATCCTAAAAGGTTTAAGAATTTGTGCTATTTTGTAAATATTCTTGCTATTTGCGTGTGTGTTTAGATCCAAATACGACGAGTCTCTAGATTAATATTTTTGCTGAATTTTTTGCACAAAAAGGATGCCTGGCCCATGCATGTGACCTTAACACATTGCCTCAATGCGTGGACGAAAAAGGTTCCTTCAGCGAGCTTTTGATCAATTTTCAATCACGGAAAAATCTTACAACTGTTGATGCCCAAAACAGCGTAAACGAATATTGCAAGTAAGTTGATAATTAATTCTAGTTAACACTAGAAAAAAAAATGAAAGTAAATTCAAAATTAAATTGCCAAACTTTTTAAAGAAACTAAATCAACAAGAAGATGCAGATGAACACTTTTTTTTCATTAATTTTGTTTTAAATTTGATTTTACTTCACAAAAATGCACATGTGAAATAAATGATATCCTTTTGAAAATGCTATTGCTGAAATTAGGGTGTGTAAAATACTCTTGTTAAATCTTTTACCCTTAATGCTCTAACAAAGTTTATCAGGAAAAGCAGTTCTATGTTAAAATTGATTTATTTTTGTGAAACAATCAGGCGCATCACTGAAATATTCATCATAGAGCCTTTCTGCCTTTTGTTTATCATGGAATAGGTTCCAGGGGAAGCTAGTGTCGTGTCTTCAGGATATGAAAAGATCATGTGTATCTCCAAACAGCCTCTCATTAACCTTGGACATGAGGATTTCTGCTGAGAAATACCTATGCACAGAAGGAAAGCAGGGTACAAAGATTTATGCATAATGCGATTCTACATAACATATCAACAGAAACTATTATACATTTGTATTACTTTCAATTCAAATATCATGAAAACGTTACAGATGAAGATACCGAAAAACATTATATAACGCATCTTCACGTTAGGAGATATATCTTAATCTTTTCAAAACATTAGCTATAAGTATTCATTTTTACCCTTTTCGCTCAAATTATAAAATTCAGAGATAGAAGAAATATAAAAAAAAAATTAAAATGAAATGTTAAAAGTGATGAAATGATCATCTTTCTTTAATAGGATTCATAGAAAACTTTCAGTGTGTGATGAACAAGTTTGTGGTGGATCAAACCAGTCTTCTGTCTTGTACGCAATTCTTTTCAGAACTTATGGAAATAGAAAACCGCAACACTGGCTCTGGTGATTCTAGTAAAGAATGCAGGTAATTTAAATTCTAAAATAAAACCATTACAATTTGCAGCGTTATATATATATATGACTGCCGTCATGAGAAAAGGGCCCTTATTATTTTGACGTCACAATGCGCAGAAAACAAACGTCAAAGTCGCAGTATTGTAAACACGGAAGTAATTTTTGTCGACTGCGTTTTGTGAACAAGAAATAAATTTGGATTTCCAGGTGTTACAAGAAAACCATTAAATGATATGAAATGCGGAAATTTCTATTAAATAATATAATTACACACTAGTACATGCATTTATTAATTATTCTGTTTAAGTATTTTTACTTGATATCACATAATTAAGCTGAACACGACATTGAACTCATTGTTAAAATTACGACGATTTATAGCTATGTGTATATATGATGCATGGCTAAAGATACTATATATTTGTTTTATGTTTAAATTTGAATCATATTCAGTGTAGACTAAGTCTTAATATCAAATGGTATTCTACATACTGTTACACGTATATTTTTCAGAGAGAGAGAGATGGAGAGAGATCAATGCACACACATACACTTCTTTGTTCTAAAAAAATACCTTTATATAAAATGTATTTTGAACAATTTTGAATTGTTGTAAACTAGTTAAAAATACATTGTTAGATAACGATGAAAGCGAAATGAGCCAAATTCACATGACTGATAACAAATAAGAAGCTGATCATTTTGCACCTGAAAAGTTTTTGAAGAGTTATCTGCCCTTGATGAAAAGAAGAAAATTTTAATTTTGTCAAAATATCTGTGGTAAATGATTCATTCTATTTCATATTTTAATAAAAAGAGAGTCTATGCATATTTTCACCAAGAGATTTGCATGAAATTCACATTACTTTTTACAATATCTTAATAAAACATGCGTTGCCCAAAGACGTCAATGTAAAATTTAAGGTGCAATTAATTGGACAGTAATTTAAATTTTGTAAATTCCTTTGATGGGGTATGTTTATTTCATAACACCTTCAAAATGTTACCATGATTAATCATTTCGGACCATTCATTTATTAGGTACAAAATATGGTCTTTATACATTGAATACCTTAACAGCAAGAGAATATGCTAAGGGGAAAATCGGAAAAGGGGGATGCCACGGCTATTTTGCAAAAATAAATTATGATAAAAAAAAAATTTATAAATGATCAAATAAATACATAAAAAAGTGGTCTCTGATAAAAATTACTCTTGTATCAATTTTCTCAAATTGTTCCAATAAAAACTGACTTGAAATTGAATTGCAATATATTTAGGAAATAAATGCAGCTAATTTGGACTTTTTCCAAAAGCATTATGATCAATGTTGAAGAAAATAACAATTACATCGACGGTAATACAAGGATTAAAATATTTATGAAACAGAAGAAACAATATATTAAACGATAGATAAGGCTGTAAAAAAATTTTCAAACTTCTGATAAATTTGAGAATAAATCACTGATAGAGGAATAAGTACAAGTAATAAGTTGTTATGGATGTCATATTCAAATGTTAAGAAAATGTTCAAAAACATCAACCAAACCAGTGGAAAGACAACAATAAAGAAATCTACGCATCTATGTTAAGGCTTCCAGAAGCTTTAAAATGCGTTCAAAACATAATATGTCATTAAGAGGTATGTTTTGGTTTTAATTTATAAGTATTGAACTTTAGTACTTCCAATTTATATAGAAGGTTTCCTCGGCTATATATTAACATATTTGTTATGATATCACATGACTTTGTTGATCACGTGACGGTCATTAATAATTTTTTGAAGTGTTTCATATAAATCGCTTCGGCGCAACTGATTAACACAATAATTATTAACATTTTGTTATATAAATAAACTCATCGTATCCTTGTGTATCCGAAATATGCTTGGGAAAAGTCATAGTATTACTTGGGTATAAAATATTTCGTGAGAAATTCAACTTACCTACAAATTTGAGGGTATTTCCACACAATATCGTAATCTGAATTAAAACAAAGCCAACACACATTTTTCCCAAGCATGATTCAGTTAGAGAACAACCTCTTCTTACAGGTTTCCACAAAAATTCTCAGATTAATCCTCATTAATCACCTGCGCCAGACTCTTTTATACACACAAAATAAATTCTACTTCCAACCACGGTTATAAAACAGAGTACATTTCAAAAGTATATTTTTCATAAGCATTTTGAACATGCCGAATTTCAATCAAGGGTAGGTAAGCGGTGTATGTTTAAAATATTCGGACATATAAGACTTAAAAAACCTTTAACGACCCGCGAATTTTGCAATAGCTATCTAGCATTTTACATGCAGTTTGAAATAAAGTGTCAAGTTCATGACACTCTCCCCGTTATAACACCTCAAGATTGCAGTGACTTGACGTCATTTTCCATTATGACGTCATATTTTGGTAGTCCAGAGATGTGAAGGCACAGAGTGCACTGTGATATTTCTACGGGAAGCCTTAACCTACCTGCGTAAAGTTTGATGAAAATGAAAAAAAAAATTAACACTGGTGATGTTTCGAGCGATAAAAAAACGGAGGTTCAGGCAAAACTTCTATAACCATAAAATATGTCAAAAACCATTGTTTTTTTTTTTTTGTTTTTTGTTTTTTGTTTTTTTTTTTTTTTGTTTTTTTTTTTTTGTTTTTTTTTTTTTTGGCCCAAATTGAATTCGCGTACATCTGTATGTTGTAAAGTAGTCACGTTTCGTGTTGAAATCTTGGATGTCGAGTCTCAGCTCTGATATCTCGATACCCCGTATATCCCGACATTTTTTGAAAGTTCTGTTGATGTAGGGATACTGAAGGAAAAGGATTAAACAAACACACACATCTGTCTGATTTTAAAGAAAAAAATGTTTCTATTTCAGTCGTGTGGTAGCAGGAAAAAATAAGAGTCATGTTTTTTTAATTTCGAGATTCTGACAAATTGTTATTTTTTGAGACAAGAACTAGGAAAAAATGGTTTTTCTATTTTATCTTTTGCTTTCAAGACAAAAGCAGATATGAAGTCGTCTATGAAAGTCAAGTTATTGTGGTAGAGTGACAATCATTCAATGGGATATTGCTTAACCGAATCGCCTTATATACAAAAAAAAGTATAAACATGTGTGTTGGACGTAATATTTAATTATTGTTTAAAGATATAATTTTGTGTAAATTTCATCGCAACGAAATATGAAAAACTTAGGTTTAAGGTTAGCTGAAGCCACAGAGGAAGATGAATAGATGACCTTTATTATGTTACAATATAAAATACATTATATTCAAGCAGGTCCGTAGCTATAGTTTTAAAAGTTGGGGGAGGGTCAACTTCCAAAAATCTGACAAGCAAAACAAAAACCTATACTGACTAATGAGTGGAAGATTGGGGGGGGGGGGGGCGGGGGGCTTCCCAAAATAATCTGATAAGCAGAAAACAGGGGAAAACTTATCTGTACAAATCCTGGAATTTGCCAGTGCTCCACCTTACAGCACCAGAAATTGGGGGGGGGGGGGTGAGGGAACCAACATCTACATGTATAAAAGGAAATTTGCTATAGCAAAATACTAGACTCAGAAAAAGTGGGGGCGGGCAGGCTCCCTCTGATCCTCCCCTCCCCCCTCGCGTTCTACGGGCTTGTTAAGTCTCAAAATATATTCGGTTTCAGTTTCAAATAGATTGCATAAAAATTGTAATGCAACTCTATTTCATTTCGCTCAGAATATATAAGAGCCAACAGCATTACAACCATTTTTAAATTTTACATTACATTGATTTACATTAAAAGTAAGAAGTTGACAAAAAAAATTAAATTTTCATGTACAGAATAAAAGTTCATAAAACAATCCTTCAACATCATTATGTGCCTTATTGTTATGTTTCTACTTCATAACTAAGACAGGCAAAGAAATTGAATTGTATAAACAATGGAAACTTTAATTATTAAAACATTTTTATTAGAGTATTCATAAAAATTAAAAAAAATCCCCTTGGAAGTAGTGAACAGATTTTTTTTTTTTATCTTTTAAAATCTTTCGGTAATACAGAAAATACATGAGGTGTTATTATCCCTTAGTAACAAAGTTATAGGGGATAAATACATGTATATCCGAAAATATTTTTTTCATATCGGGATCGATGTGCTATTTTGCGAGGGGATGTCCCGCTTTAATCGCACGAGGTGCCTTTCTGTAACATCGATATAGAACTTTTTATATTTCAATATTACAAGTGCTTTAAATCTTTCATAAATTGAAGTAGAGTATTAATTATAAAAAGAAAACCTTGTGTGGAATTCAACAAATATTTATTAATTTTTTTACTGAATAAAAACCGTTCCTAGATCCTGTCTAGACCCCCACCCCTCCCTTTACGAAATTACTAGATCTGCTCTAATATAGTATGAAAATAGTCTGCGACTTCCCTCATAAATAATTACATACTAGTTGCTTGAAAGAAAAAAATCCCAAGTTTATATGTGTCAAAACGATTACGGTTATTTAAAAAATGTAGTTTTGTAAAGAATGTTTGGAACCTGAATTTGACGCATGCGACGTCATTACGTTTTCAGTAAGTAACGTCAACATTGTTTTAAAGTGGTGTAGCTGCCCAGACACAGCCAGTTAAACCCAGGTCAAACACAATCCAAAAGGTTCAAAGAAAAAACACCAGCAATCTGGTAGATCAGTTTATAATGTTGACACAAGTGGTAAAAGGCTGTAACAAACATAAAAACAGAATTACAAAGATGAAATACAACAAACATTACTGAACTGTATACATGATGTACAGATGCATATTGACTAATAACCAAGTATCTGTATGACTAGATGACTGATAAAATGACTTAAAACACAGTATTGCGTTTAATACATAATGAGTTATTAATAATTACTCCTGATATACAAGACTTCAGACTCGACTACCTACAGACTGACGATCAAGTTCATAAAATGACATGAATTTGATATAAATACAATATCTGTTAATCTGCATTAGGTTTATACATGAAAGAGACAAATAACTGGACAAATCCATTCAATTTTATCAAAGATAAATACAAATAGTACATATTTTTTCTGAATATTCAATGACTGTAAATTTGGCGCAAAGCGATCACTGTAAACAATCATTCCTACATATCATGAGTGGGTGCACTAATTATAATACCCCAAAAATGATCATGCTGCGCACACTAAAAACCGCAAAAACTTAAAAATCCTTTAAACAAGAAAAAACATAATACATGTGATGGCCTTACCAAAATGCTCATAAAATACTGAAAAAGTGAGATATTTTAAAAATTGATGTATATTTCCATTCAGAAAGAGTCAGGCTATATATATATATATATATATATATATATATATATATATATATATATATATATATATATATATATATATATATATACAATGTATATATATTAGGGATGTCAAATCGGTCAATTTTTGATAATCGGTTACCCGGACGTTTTTCCGATCGAGTACCCGGGTACTCGGTAAAAGTGTAAATACAAGTGTGCTAATTTTCTTGATCCCCGTTAAACCCCAAGGCTGTTTTTATCACGTTTATAAATGTACTATATAAACACCGATTCCAACGTAAATGATTTTTGGCACTATATTTATTTATCATATAAACACAAAAGACATAATTATCAGATCAAAAATTACAAATGGTTTACAGTTCTTGTTTAGAATCTATATTTCATCAAAAGGAGGACACTCTGTTACGCAGGTTTGTGATGATAAGACTAGCAAAAGAGAAGCAGCGGACGTTGTTGGGATCGCTACTCTAATATTATAGTAAGTTTAGTCTAATATTATAGTAAGTTTAGTGTATATAAGGGGAAAGAATTTCATATGTTGATTGCTTCCCCCGTATACACTAAACTTACTACGCTGACTTTCAACATTTTTTTAAAAATATTTAGTTATTTCTAAATATTTCTTCATTTTTGAAGAGGGTAGCGGCATTTCTATGCATGTCCGATTTCGCTGCCGTATATTAACTAAATAATTTAAAAAAAATTTGAAGATAATAGACCATCGATAATCACTGAAAACAATCACTGAAGCCATCCAAAAATTAAGGACCAAGATAGGTGAGAACAGCTTGGTAACTAATTACTGTATATACACAGCCACACGCGATAATGAGTGTTTTAGAGGTGTAGAAGACTACACGGTATAATTACTGTATGCATATTTAAGTTAGTTTTTGATAAGTTTTTGATAAAAATAAGTACTTTGAAACAAGAAAAAATACACATCCGAGTAAACGAGTACCATTTTTAGTATTCGATACACGGACGTTCGATCGAGTACCCGGCTAACCGGGTACTTGTTGACATCCCTAATATATCTATATATATATATATATATATATATATATATATATATATATATATATATATATATATATATATATATATATATATATATATATATATATATATATATATATTGAACAGTCAGGTAATCACTGCCCCGCAGGACCTGACATGCATTGTTACTTGATTCTTTTTACACATAGGGTCATCATGACCTTTCCTTGGTGCCAGCTTTACAATAGACAACAGCTGTATAATTTTCATTACATTTATTAAAGACTTGAACAAAAACATATACAATTTTGCATTACTCATAACTGTGATGGACATCAGGGAATTGGCATTAAATGGCCGCATTGCATAAATGTACAATCAAAAATTAGGGTCCAGGAGGGATAGCTGGCATATGGACTTATAAGTACCGGGCAAAACCAGTGGCCCTGTGTTGGTCACAGATGCCCGAGATCCCAAATTTAGGTACTAGACATTAGGGACCGAGAGGTTTGCGAGCACATCTGTATACCCTGCTTCCGGTGATTGCTTCTGGTCAGCAGTACTTTTACACCCAAGTACTCCAGTACTAAGCCTCCCCTCCTGTTACAAGAGGTGGAGGGGGCCCCAGGCCTGCAGACTTGGCTACGACCCCAATCGAAAACTTTTTACTTGTCTTTTTACTTGACTTTTATTACACATTGCCATAGGTTGGATACTTTGTAGACAACCTGTCTACCCAACAATGTGCCCACCAACTTGTCTGATGGCTGGGCAGGGAAACAACGAGCCAGATGTGTTCACAACCCTCCCACTCATTCCTCCGGACCCGCCACAGACATCGATATGATGTTCCTCCATTACTTTACATTAGGGGATACTTTTCCCTTCCCTTGAATGAGGGACCGCAATCCACTTTTTACGTTATTTAAGAAAGTTCTGAAGCCAAGCTCGGAGAGGTGGGTACCATCAAATCTAATGTCCGGATTGGCAACGGATATGTTTGCATGTGAAATTACACCCCCACCCATTTCTGTGACAAATTTTGAGATATTTTTGTTAATTCTTTTACGTTTCTTGTCTATCTTTTTTCCACTGTTCAATGGAGCTCCATGCCAATAACGGCGTGGTAAGATGATTGACCACACCAGTTTAGTATTTGGAGTTTGGAGTTACCAAATCGTTGGATCCTAGATGAATTACTAAGTAATTTGGGGGTACTTCATGTTTGATGAGCTGTAGGAATTGTGGGTCTAATTCCTGCCATTCCATCCCCCTGCGTGATCTCCATAGCAGTGTGGCAGGGAGGTTCAGGCTTTGTCCCCCTGGGTAGTGTTTGGCTGCTTCCCCTGCCCAAAAAGGAATGGATGATCCTATGATCCATATTTTTAGACCTGCAATGCTTTGGGTTGGTTAGTTTTGGATTTTAAATTGACTATACACATGTCCAAATACCCCCCCCCCCCCCCGCATCGATGGGTAGATGTCTGTAGTCCTAGTAGGTATGGGAATGTTGTTGTGAACCAAGCTACATGATCCTTATGTATTTAAGAAAAGCTACTGATTTCCATCTACCAAACTTCTGAATTTCAGAATCGGATGTGCCCTGTAATGCAAGGTCTGTTGCCCTCCCAATTCGAAAGCTGTGTGTGCCAAAATGGCCTGGTGTTGGTAATATGTTTTCAATAGCCTTTTAAAGGACTGCGTTGAATTGGTATCTCGTCAATGGTTTTGTATTAAGATGAATTAGAAAACTGTGGTTAACAGGGGTATGGGGCCTACACTCGATAAAATCCAAGGTAGCTTTAACTGGGCACAGGGTAGCAAGTGGCTGGCTATGGATAATAAAGATGGTATTCTTGCAAACCTGGTCAGTTTTGGAGTGTGGTATGGTTAACCTTAAATAGGGCTTGTGTGGATGTGCTTGAATGTGTTTGAGTTGTATGCAATGGGATGAATTCTGTGTGTTTGAGTTGACTAAAGTGAATTCCCCTACACAAAGTAATGCAAAGTATGGTAATGAAAAAGCACATGTGAACAGTTTGACCTCGTAAGTAGAGCAACACACTGACTGTAGCGATATACTGTAGATTCCTTATTTTACGCGAGTACTTAATATCGCGAAATGGCTCAAGGGCGTCAAATCGCGAGAACAATAATTCGCGAACCGGTGATTTATCTAGAGATTTTGCATACATTAAAGCACCATAAAAATAAAAGCGAGTATTTTTTTTTTTTCGCGAGTGGTGCTTCTCGCGTAATTACGCGATAATTTATTCATCGCGTATATTTAGGAATTTACAGTAACAAGCTTTTCCAAAATTGGTAGGGTTATTGGGAGGCGGTTGTCTGGAACAACTCTGTTGTTGCGCTTTAAGCCTTGAAGTGCTTTGTTGATTTGGAAGGACTTGGTAGGGTCAGGAAGATGGTTTATTTTGTGGAAGTATGACAATGCACTAATGTAAAGGGACACTGAATTGGGTGACATTTTTTGGATGGATAGGTAGGCTATAAAATATAGTAATATGTTGCTGTGCAGGGGCCAGGTTTGCTGTAAGCCATAAATGTTTAAAAATGATTGGAATTTATTCAGTGCAGCCCGGTAAGCTTTGTAGGTGTTTTGTGATAAGGAGCTATGAATAAGGCGTTTGGACTCAGCAATTAAATTTCCCATATCTGCTTGGGGAGCTGTGTGGGCCACATCTCTGCCTCTGGAGCCAGGTTGCGAAACTTTCCCCACTGTGAACGAGAAATACTGTCAGCTATTTTGTTCAGTTTTGTTGGGATGTGTTGGGCTTTAATTGTGATGTTATGTTGCAAAGTGAGGAGAACAAGTTTTCTGACAATGTTCATTACCCTTGTTGACTTAGATGTCAATGTGTTAATGACTTGTACAACTGCCATGTTGTCAATGTGGAAAAGTTTGCGTTTGTTTGATAACCATGGGTGCCATAACAGGAGTGAAACATATACTGGAAATAGTTCTAAGAATGTCATGTCACGAATAACATCAGAAAACACCCAGTGGGTAGGCCATTTTGAGTAAGCCCAGCGGCCAGCAAAAAGATTCCAACCCCCCCCCCCCCTTAAACCCCCCTGCACTATCTGTGAATAGTTGTAGACTATTATCTGATGACCAAATACCAGAGCATATGACTGTGACCCCATTAAAGTGTTTCAAAAATTGCTGCCATACTGCAAGGTCTGCTTTCATACCTTGATTAACTCTTATCATGTGATATGGTTTTTTGATGCCAATAGTGGCATCAACTAGTGGCCTGCAAAAGGCTCTGCCAGGTGCTACTGTTTTGCAGGCAAATTGAGGAGACCAATCAGTGATTGTAAGGCCTTTAAGGAGACCTTTTTACTTATCATGACTGTTTGAATGCTTTGTCGGAGAGAAACTAACTTGTCTTGCGGAAGTCGCATTACCATGTGGATAGTGTCAAATTCAATTCCTAGAAAAATTATTGTTGTGCTGGGCTCGGTGGTTTTGTCAAGAGCTATTGGTATTCCGATATGGCTACAGATATTTTTGAAAAGGTCGAGGGTAGATTGGCACCGATTAGAATTTGGTGGTCCCGCGAAGAGAAAATCATCTAAATAGTGTAGAATATGGGGGTTACGTGAGCTAGATTGAATGATCCAATGTAATGCAGTTGTAAACTTCTCCCAGATTGCACAGCTGATGGATGCACCGAATGGCATTATTTTGTCAAAAAAGTATTTACCCTGGAATTTAAACCCCAATAGCTCAAAATCATTTTTGGCCACAGGAATGAGCCGGAATGCAGATTTTATATCGGATTTAGCTAATAAAGTACCTGCCCCCAGTGTCGCGATGATGGCTGCTGCGTCGTCCACTGATGCGTAGTGTACTGAACATGCAGCTGGATCTATAAAGGAATTGATTGATTGATGTTCTGGGAAGGACAGGTGATGGATGAGTCTAAAATCTCCATCTTTTTTGGGGACAAGTCCTAATGGTGAGATTTGAAGGGATGGGAATGGTGGGTATTCAAATGGTCCCCCTACCCTCTGGAGCAGGAGTTCTTTATGTATTTTTTGTTCCACTATACTGGGGTTTACTATAGCACTTTTTAAATTTTTTGATTCCCTGTAAATTCTTGGGCCATTGTACTGGAGTTGAAAACCGTTTATGAGAAAAGATTTAGCACTGTAACCTTGTAGATAAGCAGACAAATTGTAAACATCAATTGGAGTTTTCCTAAACTGTTGATATCCTCGTTAGAATTGGGTATTTCTATTCCTGCATTTGATCGAGGGGTGTGATCCGCCACATGAATTGCACGAGTGGACAAACCTGCAATTTGGGTAGAATTTGCATGACTTGCCTGAATTAAAATCGTAACAGTAAGGATTGGGTGCTGAATTTACCTTTTTCTTAGCTGCTGGTATATTGGGCTGTTTATGTTGGGGGAAAAAATTTTGTGTGGGAGATATGGGCTTTTCTTGGGCCTGCATGGTGTAATTGTTGGTGACATGGATCAACCACAGTTCAGAGTTTATGATTCCCCAAGATGAGTGTGGGTCTGACACTTTGCGAAGCTGAAATTGTTCATCATATGTGAACCAACCATTCCCAGATCTGTCGGCTGCCATTCTTACATCCCTCATATATTTCAAAAATTCTTGGGCTCTAGATCTATATTTTTCTAACATAATACTTGTGAAGATGATGAAGGCTGAAGTCCATTTGTCGATTGACAAAAAGGTGCGGGGTTTATGCTTCACAAGGCACATTGTGCCGTTGAGTATTTGTATTTGGCCTTGTGTATCTAAGTGATCTGAGATTTCCCGCGCCGATTTTAATAGTATGGATAGATCGACAAATTTTCCCTCCCAAATTTTTTGTTTAATTTTTAGTGGAACATGGGCGCTAATAGGATCTATAGAACTGGGGGTTTCAGCAGGTTGGTAATCCGAAATGTTAAATGGGGGGCCACCGAATTCGCTATTGTTTGTATGGTGTGTTAAGGCATCTACTGTGGGGAGCAAAATGTCACACTCACCCGAGATGTTGCTCAACGTCTCCTCGTCTTGGCCCTCCAGACGTCCTGTGGGTTCGTATTCGTAAGCCTCATGGGTTGATTCCGCCACCGTTACTGTGGCTGGGGGAGTTGATGTTGCAGTACTGGTCCGGTTTCCCCTAAGTCGTGGTCTTGTGTTGGTGGGATGTCCCGCCTCGTGTGTGGTCCGCTTGGATCTCCTTCCTCGCCCTCTGCCCGGCGAAACAAAATTACGATCGCGCTCCTTTCTGGAGGGTGAGGTGATCATCTGTCTAACTGGCGGCATAGTTGAGACCAGGTAGCGTGTAAAATTGATTTTAATAATTTTGATGTGGATCTCATCTCCTGACACACCCTGTTGCTGGATGGGGGGGAAAAGGAAGTGCTACCTAATTAATCAACTCGTACCAATATGAGTCTTTTTCCTTTTGGATTATACCCAATTCGTTCCACTATTAGTTTTAACGATATTGTAATGTGCTTCCTTCAATTAATTGAGATTAATTTGGTATAAGGGCAAATTAATCTGCCATATATATAATTCCTTTTAAAATGATTTTTTATATGAATTATATGAAATTCACAGGTTATTAGACAAAACTTTGACCTGTATCGATGACAAGGCCCAAAATCTGTGCGGTGGCAAAGCAAGAACTTATATCCATTCTTATATGAAAGCCTCGTTCAAACCACTGACGGAGAGCATATCATGTAACAGTAGTAAGTATCTTTGCAAAACAAATAATTTTAAAATCATGCCTGATTCGGGAATTCTTAAAAAGGAAAACCCTTCCTTAAAGTTATGTCCGTATGATAAAGTACAACAGGCTATCCAACGATGAATTTGACGGGATATTTTATTTCATA